CTGTGGACACAATTCTCAGGCAGGGAGAACTGCATTAGATTGGTACCACCAGATTCTAATTGGGTGAATTAGGATGGCTGCTCGTCAGCCAACTAACCTTTCTAAGGTAACTGAAGTTATACAGGGACCTCAGGAATCCCCTGGAGCATTTCTTGAACAAGGCGTATCGGGTATACACCCCCATTGATTCTGAGGCCCAGCAGGCAATTAATATAGCCTTTGCTACTCAGGCAGCCCCTGATTTCCGGCGTAAATTGCAAAAAATTAGAAGGTTTTGCAGGGATGAACCTGTCCCAACTTGTTGAGATAGCCCAGAAAGTGTTTAACAACAAGGAGTCACCGGATGACCCCAAACGTATAGCTAAAATCCAAAGCTACTGTCATCAACCCAGCCATTCTGTTGCCAGACTCCAGACCCCGAGACCCCCGTTTATGACTACATGGATTTCACTGATGCTGTGTGTTCCTTGCGGTCAGACCTCAAAGACTCCCCTCTGCCTGAGGCCAGTGAAGTTCTATTCACAGATGGGAGCAGCTTCATGCAGGAAAGGAAGAAGGTATGCTGGGGCAGTGGTCGTCACAAGCTCTTCCCCATAGGACTTCTGCTCAAAAGGCCGAACTCATTGCCCTCACTGAGGCACTAAGAGGAGGAAAGAATAAGGCAGTCACAATATACACTGACAACCGATATGCCTTTGCCACTGCACATGTACACAGAGCCATCTACAAGGAAAGAGGGCTTCTGACTTCAGCTGGGAAGGACATCAAGAACAAGGGGGAGATCTTAGCCTTACTTGAAGCCATATAGATGCCTAAGGCTCTTTGTAAAGGGCATCAAAAAGAGAATAGTCTCAAGACTGAAGGAAACTGTCGAGCCGATGCAGAGGCAAGAACAGGGGCCACAAGGCCAGTGGGGCCCCCACCACATCTACTGACTGTTGTCCCTTACCCAGAACTGCCTCCATCTCCGACCTATATGGCAGAAGAGAACATATATTTTCAAGATAAGGGAGCCACTAGGAACCAAGAGGGATGGTGGACGACCCCAGATGGAAAAATCGGGCTCTCACGGGCCTTTGGAAGGACTCTCCACCAACTACACCAGACCACACACTAGGGCAAACTAAGATGCTCCAAGCTTTAGACTCCTACTTTCACTTGTTAGAAGGGAGAAGAACTGCAGAGGAGATTGCCTCATGATGCCCGGCTTGTGCCCAAGTTAATCCAAAGAAGGGGAAGATAGAAGAACCTAGGCATAGTGAAAGAGGAACTTATCCGGGGGACCACTGGGAAGTAGATTTCACTGAGGTAACCCCGACTGTGGGGAGCTACAAATATTTACTTGTTTTTATAGACACCTTTTCAGAATGGGTAGAGGCCTTCCCTACCAGGAAAGAGACTGCCTTAGTAGTTACTAA